AAAAGGACCGCCGTCGCCACAGACGGGCCTGGGAGGGGAGGGTGAGTCGCACGCCAGCACCAGCGCCTGAGGTTGAAGTGGGAACTTACTGAAAGGGACAAAAGCTGGGGGGGCTCGCACTCCTCCACTGCGAATGCCCAGAGCCTGTCCCCACATCCCCTTTGCCTGCGTCATGTCCACTGTGGGGAGACTTGACCAGGGAGCTCTGGGGTTCTGGTACTTCCACAGCTTCTGGCCACTCTTGATGGAGAGAAGCCAGTCCATTTCATTTATGCTGGGATTCCATTTGGACTTGGAGCAAGTTCCTTCCAAACTTCTCTCTCCAGACCTAGCTCTAGTCCTGTTTCTGAGACAAAGTGGCACGTGTGGTCCAGAGGAGTTCCTTGTTTCTTATCGATACAACCAACAAAAACTGGTCGAGCCCTAGCTGGATTGAGCATTGGCCTGTGGACTGAAGAGTTACTGGCTTGATCCCCAGTTGGGAGCATGCAAGAGGCAGCTGATCAATGATTCTCATTATTGTTTCTATCTCTCTTTTCCTCTCCCTTCCTCTCTGAAATCAATAAAAAAAATGGTTGGTAACAATACATGTCAGACATGTCAAGTTCTGGGGCAAAAAACTTGAATAAGGCATGGACCTCAAGGAGTGGAATAGCCAGACACCAGTAATGATAGTGTAATAATGCAATAATTTTATGGCGCTCTGTAAATTAGAAAAGAACTCCCATGTGTGCACTGAACTGCCATGCTTAGTGAGGCAGGCAGACCATTATCCTCCGGGGATCACTCACCCACTGGATGTTGGTCGAGCAGTTTCTAGCTGCCATTTGCTGTAAGTGTGATGCAGAATGGTCCTTAAAGGAGCTCACAAGCAAGCACACAGCTACCACCGTGGGACAAGTGCCCTGGGGAGGGTGGTGCAGGGTCCTAGGGGGCAGCACTGGCTCCATAAAGGAGGGGCCTTGAGATGCTGATGAGGGAAGAGAGGACAGAGCTGGGAGCCAGACGTGTATGCAGGGTCTGTGGCTGGGGAAGGCAGTGCTTACGGATTGCTATGGGGACACCCACCCACGGACAGCCACGCCAGTTTTGGTGAGTCGGGTGCAAGCTGAGGCTGACGCCTGAGCTGGAGGTAGCTGGGCATTGAGGGGAAGAGCATTCCAGAGGGGACAGCAAAGGTCCAGGAACAAGCCCAGGACGACTGGCACGCTAGCGTGTTCGGCGCGTCTGGGCAGAGGGTCCAATGGAGATGCTGGGGGAGGTGGAGTGGGAGGGGCAGGCTGGGCCACTACAGACGCAGGCTTTATCCAGAGGAGCACTGGAGAACCTTAAGCCTAAGGAGAAATTTGTGCCTTAGAATCTAAGGCTTAGATCACTCTGGTTGCATTGTGGAGACAGGTTAGGAAAGGAGAGATCAGAAGCTTTTGCAGCAATCCCAGGAAAAGACTAGAAACCAGAACCAGAGGTCATGGCAGATGGAGAGAAGAGGAATCGGTAGTTTTATGGGTACTTAGGAGGTAGGGTTGACAGGTCTTGGGCATGTTTTTGTTTTGTTGTTAGTCCTCACCTGAGGATATTTTTCCCATTGATTTTTAGGGTAGAAGGGGGGTGAGAGGGGGGGAGAGAAACAGACACATCAATGTGAGAGAGATACATTGATTGGTTGCCTCCTGCATGTGCTACAACTCGGGCAGGGATCAAACCTGCAACTCAGGTACGTCCCCTTGACTGAGAATCAAACCTTCGACCTGTTGGTCTTTGGGCTGATGCTCTAACCACTGGCTAGGGCATTGGGCATTGTTTTGCTGTGTAGGTGAGGGAGAAGGACAAGTCAAGTGTGCACCCCATTTTTCCAATTATGCAACGGTGGATGGTGGGCCATTTCCTGAGATGGTTTATGCAAGTAGAGGTTGGGGGATGAGAGGTGGTGACTGAGGACAGGGATTTGGGGTCATTAACATATAGGTAAGAGGAGAGTAACATCATCCACCAGAAGTGTGTAACATGAGAAGAGCTGAAGAGAGCGGAGAACACAAGAAGGGCAGGGAAAGGAGCCAGACAGGACAAACCTAGTGAAGTGTGAGAGCCGGGGAGCAGGGAGGAAAGGTGGCCTGCTGGGGAGCAGTGGCGTGATTAGCCACTGGATTTGGCAACAGTGAGCCTTCATGATCTTGGTGGGTCAGTTGCATTGGACAGATGAGATCAGAAGTCCTAGATGTCAGGGGATTGAGGAATATGGCCAAAGGAAGTGGAGGTAGAGGAGGAAATGTTACAATTTTCAAGTTTGGCTATGTTTGCAACAAAAGAAAAATGGAGGAGAACGTATATGGAATTGATAAATTAATTTTTTAATATATGAAGTTTGGAGTGTTTTAACAAACTTCAACAAACAAAAGCCCAGGACCAGACAGCTTCACAGAGAAATTCTACCAAACATTAAAAAAATCAGTACCTATCCTTGAACAATTTTTATTCCAAAAACTTGAGGAAGGCATGCTTCCAAACTCATTCTATATGGCCAACATTACTCTGATACCAAAACCAGACAAGGACACTGCAATAAAAGGATTACAGGCCAATATTTTTGATGAACATAGATACCAAAATTCTCAGCAAAATACTAGGAAACCGAATTCAATAGCATATTAAAAGGATTATGCACCATAATCAAATGAAATTTATATCAGGGATGCAAGGGTGGTTCAGCATTCACAAAACAATGTGATTCATCCCATCAACCAAACCAAGAATAAAACTCATAATTATCTCAATGAGGCATAAAAGCACTTGACAAAATTCAACATCCATTTATGATGAAAAAAGACCCCCACCACACCTCAAAATGGGTATAGAAACATTATATTGGAAATCAGCGAGCTGAACAGAGGACACCTTAGTAAGCCAAATTTG